CAGCGCGTCGAAGGCTAGACCGTCCCATTTCACAAGCCTCTCACTTCCTCACTTCTCGTACTTATAGTACGCGCTGTACGTAGTACGCGTACTTCAAGCGTGCAGACCCTGAATTGGGACACAGCAACTGACTTCCTGTTCCGGTTCCAGCCTGTAGGGGGAGCCGGTTTGAAAATGGGACGGCAGTCTACCCACTAAGGAGGAAACGAAATCGGACTGACGGTTATTACTTTAATTTATTTAAATAAGGTGACGGCTGGCGTGAGGCCGTCTGCGGTCGCTGTGATGGGCTGGCGCGATGATCGGACTCGTCTGCCGCGGGGACGCTCGGCTGGTTGTATTCTGGTTTTATTGCTCTACAAAATTGCCGAGTGTGTAATTTTGCAAACACAAATCCTCACCGTAAACAGATCACATGTCATTTCCGGTCGAGTCGCGCCGCTCCAGGTTCCCGAGTGTAACTGCAGCATAAAGGTCCAAAAACACTCCAGCAGATATTTACACAAAACCAAAGAAGCAAAACTTCCTGTTTGGACCGAGGACGCCGCTGGAACAGGATGGATTCCTCCAGAGCACGTCTGGCATTTACCTGGTTTCCAGGTATCTGATGGCCAAAGTGGAAGTTTCAAATGTGCAGTTTTACGCCTCCGTCTTTAAAGTCTGATCACACTGACACTGCTGAGCCTGCAGGAAGTGGGGAGGAAGGTGTTTCAGGTCTTCATCTCAGTTTCTTTTCTCAGTCGTTCAGCTTTAAAAAAGAAAAAAGAAAAAAAAACTCTGTGGTCGGACGTCGTTGTGGAGGAAGGTGAACGCTCGATGTGGCCGTCAGTGGTTGACTAGTCCCATCTGAAAAGAAGAAGACAGACTGAGCCGACGTCTCCAACGAGAAGCTGAATGTTGGCGAGTCGCTTCAACTCACAGGTTGGTTGACGTAGTTGGACTCCTCGTACTCGTCGTCGCTGCTCTGAGCGGATGAACCCGGAGTGGACGCTGAAGAAAAGACAAACATCCGACCTTTTATAACCACGTGTTTAAAAAACCAAAACATTCATGAGTTATTCTGTCACAGAGGAGGATTATCGAGGAAGCTTATTGGCTGATGACTTGTCAATCAAAAGAAGACTTTACTTTGATAAGTCGCACGTCGGGGGAAGGTACCGGATAGTTGGAGCATAGCGTCAGGTGCATGGTGCAATATACCTATTGGTGCCACGTTCTCATAGGGTTTGTCGTCGTCGTCGTCGTCTTCTTCTTCTGAGCAGAGAACAGAGGAGGCGATGCAGCGTGATTAAAAATGAATTCTGACGTTCAGACGTTTTAAAACTTGTCATACTTTCCTGTTTTGTTTTTGTTTTAAATAAAAGGAAAAGAAACGTTTGAAACGCGTTGAAGCTGAGATTCAATCGGAAAAAGAACAACGATGTTGTCTTACCATCGAGGTTCACGTAATTATGATCTGTGAAAGAGCACAAACAGCTGATGAGTCCACATTCTGTTGACTCCCCAACGTCCGTGTTTTACGACGAAGGATCCAAACTGCACCTGAACTGGGCGTCGAGGCTCGGCTCTCGATGTCCGCGGGGACTCCTTTGCTCTCCTCCGGATTGTCGGGTAACACCTCTCTGGGGAAACCACAGAAGAAGAGGAAGGTCAGTTTAGAGCGTCATCACTGAGGTGCAAACACCAGCTGGAAGCTGCACGTGGAAACCTACATGTAATTATCGTGATCGTCAACGTCCTTCTCAGGTTCTGTGGAAAAACAAAAGTCAGCTAAACATCACGTTCCTGCACACTGACATCACAGGGTCAAAGGTCAGTTTTCTTCCTGAGTTCATCCCCACAAGCCCAAGAGTTAAATCTAACAAATCCCAGATTTTAACCAGAGTCTGCAGTCCAGACCAGCTCGCCCAGTCCAAAGAGCTCAACCAGTCCACTACAACCATAACCAGGTTAAAGAGGTCCAATATTAAATCCCAGGTCCAGTTTAACTAATCTCAACGTTAAATAAATCCTAACATCTCAGAGTTAAACCTATTAAATCCAGTCTAACAGTTTCCACAAGTCTCACTGATGAATCGCTTTTGGAGGCCGAGAAGCTTCAAGTCTTGGACGTCAACACCAACAAGACAAAGTCATGAAAGTCAGTCACTAGTTTCTGTTTTTCACACAGAAATGTCACAATATTGAGATTAAAAGTAGATCTTCATCTCCCAGCTGCTTCCTTTAGAGGTCACCGCAGCGGATCATCAACCTCCACCTCCTCCAACCAACTCTGCACCAACCAGTCTAAACTTTTCAGATGTCAGTTCTGAACTGTGGCAGCCTGAGAGGTGAAACATCTCCACGAAACTCCTCTTTCCGAACTCTGAGCTGTCCCTCTGAACAAGCAACGAGCCGGTGTACTCCTGGCATAAAGTCTAATCGTGTGGCTCATCAAAAATGAGACTCAGATGGGTCTGATCCTCTGGACCACGGCTCTGTCTGTGCATCTGACTGATGCTGGGCTCGCTGTGCAAATGCAAATGGGTCTGACTGCAAAAAGAGGAGGGTGTACCCGTACCTGGATTCTCATAACTCGGGTTACTCTCTGCAGGACAGAAATGGAGCAACAGGTTTGGGTAAGAAGGTAAAACAGAAAAATACAACTTAAATAATGCGTCGTCCTTTCCAGGCTCACCAGTTTCTGTTGGGGTGTAAGGTCTGTGCTCCAGTTTGGTCGAACTGTGAAACACAAAAAAGAGATCTGTGCACATCACACAACGATTTCTAAAGCTCTGCATGCTCCCAGGAGAGCGTCTCCTGCTCGCCAACGTTCATCACCTGAACCAGGTGCGCTCATAACACAGACTTACAAAGGAAGCCGCAGGTGGGGGTCAGGTGGAGGGGTTGTGATGATGATGGGGTTCGGGGGTAGGGTCGGCTGGGCTGGAACACAGATCAGTGTTAGCTTCATCATCATCAGCATAGACATAAAGCACTCGTATCCGTTTTTAAGAGTCGTCCATCCTCGGCGAGGACAACTTTAGTTTCTCCTAAAAGCTCAAAGTCACAGTTTCAGTTTTTATTATTTCGTTTACCTCCGTGAAACCAAACCAGCAGATTACATCAGCTAGTTACACTCGTTTTCCCGATCCTCGCTGACCTGCATTGGCGTCCCATCAAACACCGCATTCATTTTAAAATACTATTGCTTACCTTTAAAATGATAACTAACATTGCTCCCAGCTAGCTTACTGAACCTCTCAGCTTGTACACTCCTAGCAGAGCACTGAGATCAACGGGCCAATTGCTCTCAGTGCAATTCAATTCAATTTTATTTATATAGCGCCAAATCACAACAAAAGTCGCCTCAAGGCGCTTCATAGATACAGAGAAAAACCCAACAATCATATGACCCCCTATGAGCAGCACTTTGGCGACAGTGGGAAGGAAAAACTCCCTTTTAACAGGAAGAAACCTCCGGCAAGTGCAGCCTGGGTCTCGGCTGAAGGCCAGAGGTGATCATGCTTTTTCCATAGCTGCACCCGAACTGGAATAATCGTCCTACTGCTATTCACCGAATCAGTTGTATCTTTTAAATCGTGATTGAAACCCATTTATTCAATCTAGCCTTCCCTAGTTGGTGCCTGTATCCTGCAAATGTTCCCTTACGTAGTTTTAATCATTTTATTTTATTGCTGAATAATCTGTGTTTTGTATTTTGCACTGCGCTGAGGCTAATTAGTGCTCTCCACCTGTTGGTGTATTTGGACCCTGTTCTGGTTCCTATCTCTAATTTATTGTATTACTATGAAGCACTTTGGTGTACCGCTGCTTTTTAAATGTGCTGTACAAATAAGGTTGTATTGTATTAGTTATTTTATTTGAAGTTAGCGTTGATGTTAAATGTGAGCACAGTTTGAGGGTACGCACACAGACCAAAGCTCAGGCTGATTTCAAAGCTTACCAACGCTGATGCTGCCGCTCGCAAGGCTTCTGGAAGTTGGCATGGAGAGAGGAGCTTAAAGAGACGAGCAATAATGAGACCGATTATTTTGAAGTGTGAGTCACGCAAAGCTGCGCAGAGTAAAAACACAGAGGTGCAAATGTGAAGGTGATGAGTGGCCGACATCACTTCGTATAACAGCAGAATCAACCACGTGTTCGTGGACCGTTGGTTTGAGCTGATGTTTCAGACTCACCTGGATGGATGACTCTGAATTCAGGTGATCTGAAAAAAGAACATCGTCGTTTTTATGCTTTGACTCATCGATGAAAAGTTTCTCTGTGATGCAGACGGAAACACTTACGTGTACTCTTCTGAAGCTGTTTGTTGGATGGACCCTGATGGGCGAGAAAAGAAAGATTATAATGTGTCAGTAGCTCAAAGCAGAAATCTCAGACGACGCTGTGCTGGACACGATGGGTGTGAAAGATCTGAGTCAGAGATAAAAGGCGTTTGTGAAAACCACAGGGTGGTTTGTGCTCGAGTCAGGTCAGCCTGTGGTTAACAGCGGTTAGCCGCAGGTTGATACAGTGTCAACTGCAACTTTCACCCACGCAGTGGACCTTTGTTCCTGCAGTCCAAACAGATGACGGCCAGGAGGACGATGGAGACGAAGACGGCGGCCGACACGAGGAGAAGGAACCAGGAGAAGTCCATGGTTTATCTGAGAGGGAAAGGAGAAGATCGCAGGTCAGGTCTTAACCTCCGTCAGTGCAGATAAGGACTGAGGTCGAGTAACTTCAGTTATTTAAAGCAGACTTTGATCAAACCTGGAACAAACAATCCTGAACTTTATCAGATGTGTTTGAGCCTAAATGTTCAGATTCTGAAGTTTACTTTCACTTTGTTATCAGTCATCAATCTGCACAGCAGGAAACCAAACAGCTTATTGTTGAACCTCCTCTGAGGTCTTCCTCCTGCAGCTCCATCGTCATCATCCCCCCTCCCTCCTCTGCACATGCTCAGACCGTCTCAGCCTCTCTGACTCTGAGCCTTCCCCCTCACTCCCAGTGAACATCTGAGCATCTGCTATCGATCTAATCAGTCAACAAATAAAAGGATATCCTGTTCACAGAAGCATTCACATCATTTGGTGCGTTGAGCAGTCCAGGCCAGACTGAGTTACTGAGACATAATTAGCAAAGGCTGGATCGGATGAAAGCAATCTGATTGGTCAAGGCTCGTGGTGACGGCGATTGGCTGGGAATTGGTTTTTGCTTTAGTCAATAAAAACTTTAATCTTCATCATGAAATATATAAATATATATAAATACACACACAGTCATGAGCTGGTCATGAGCTATATAGCGTGGCGGCGGCAGCGTCATGGCGTGGCGGCATTTGTCAGGCTGATGGTTTAGTTAGTGCAGTGGGAAAAATATAAATCCACTCTGAGTGAAAAACCTTTTCAGGTCATGTTTTCACTGCTGTTTGTTACTCAAAAGGCTACAAGCTGAATCTCAGGAAACTGGGTGAAGACGAAGCAGCACGTGATTGATTAAACCTGAAAGAAAGAAAATTCCCTCGAGTGAAGGATTCGCTGGCCGAGTGCTTTCATTCTGTTTGGATTAAGAGTAACTCGTAAACCTGTGTCAGGTCAGTGCTGACCCGCCTGGGGTTATGGTTATGGTTTGGATTAATCCACTCATTTCAACAGACAAGTGGGTTTTTTATTCAGTTTTTACAGGAGGACAAAATATTGGAGACTTTGTTTTAAAGGCAGCGTCTTCTAGTTTGAGCCTGTTTATCTGAAGCGGGCGTCCGGTGGCCTGCAGAGAGCACGAGCTCTTCTCTGCTGATGATTGTGTTTCGCCATTTAATGCTAAAAAAGGAAGCAGGAAGTGTCCCACAAACGTGCACACACACATTCTGGTTAGAATAAAAAACAGAGAGTCGTGAAAAACCTGCTCCTCACAACAACAAGTCTTTAAACGTGAGCATGGAGGATTGTTACCGCGAGCCGTCTCTTCTCTGGAAGTTTGGTGTTTTTCATTCTGTGGTTTTTCTCGCCTTTTGAACACAACAACTGGAAACTTCCACCAATGAAGCTGCACAAACAAGTCAAATTTCCACTGGCTTCAAACACAAAACAAAAGCTTCAGTTTAATTCAGATTTTGAAGCTAAATGTTCAGAAGTCGTGTGATCAAAGCCGTCCTCCTCGGGTTCATAACGCCGACCCGAACTGCGCTGGATCAGACATAAAAACCAGAAACCTTTGTGGTCTGGCTGAGAAACGGTTTCATGCTACATTTCTACATCACTGGAGGAAAAGTGCATGTGTGCAGAGCTGAGGGCTGCTGCACCCGCTCAACTCTGACTGTTACCTGCAGTAAGGTCAGAAAAAAGAAAGGAAAACCTACAGAAGACATGAATCTGAAAAGTGATACCGATGCTTATGATGGGCCATATACATGTTACATCAAATCACAAACACCAAATTCCTGCTGGAGCAACACCCTGGACCCAAACATCCACCCACAGACGTGAAGAAGCATCTTCATCCAGCACAAGTACCGACGGTCCGTCGGTGAGCCCGGACTCTGTGAGACCAGACAACCAAACGAAAGTCACATTTTGACATACTCAGGTCTACACGTGTACTTCATGTAAATAATGTACCGTCATTTACAGACGGCCACAGGAATCTGGCTAACATTAGCTAATATTAGCTAACATTAGCTAATGTTAGCTAACATTAGCTAACATTAGCAGGCGGCCTCTGTCGCTCCACAACAAGTCACTGAAACTGAACAGAGAGCAGTTTACGTTACTGAAGTTTGGTATGGTTTGATTTTCTAAGGCATAGGTGTCAAACTCTGGCCCGCGAAGCCATACCAAATTACTATTAGAGCTGGCCTACTTGTATTATACAGCTAATATATATATTGTTTAGTATTAAGCTTTGCTTGTTCCATATTCAGTTTTTCAGCAAAACTTGTTTGAGTCCATAAGAAAAGATTCATTCTTATATCTGGAGGAAGATTTTTTTTTTCAGTAAATATTAACGTTAGCCCGCGACTTTGTTCCAGGTTTGAATTTTGGCCCACTGTGTGTTTGAGTTTGACACCCCTGTTCTAAGGTGTCTGCAGGTCATTGACAGCAGGTCTCTTTTGCACCAGCACATCATACAAAATACAGATTTTCACAAACTTGTCAGGAACGACCAGGAAAGCTCATCTCACATTATAATCGGACTCATTTTGTCACAACAAGTAAGTTTGAGTTTGACAAACGCTCGTGTGCTCGTCTTCATCACACGAGGCCGTGAACACAAGGAAGCTGTTCAAATGAAACCGGCTGTCCTATTTTCTTAAATAACTGGTGGTTTTTACCTTCCTGAGTTATCACAAAGAACAGTGTGATGCTAATCTGCTCTCAGGGGTGCGTCACACAGGAAGGAAAACCATCCACCACGTGGTGCGACTGACTGGTACTGCTCGCTTTCTTTCCCCTGCAAACCCAAAAGTCTCCAGTAAACAAGGCCAGCCGGCTCCGAACGCTGGAAACACACTTCAGAGGAAACACGATGATGGAAACCCGACTCAGACGAACATCTCCGGCCTCGGCTTCGCAGCTTTTACTGCATCTCACAAACATCAATTCCGCACTGCAGCGAGGAAGGCCGCCATCTTGCAAATGTAGAGCCCGCCACAAAACCCCCCGAAAGGTTTTATTAAACTCTGTCAGCAAACAGAAGCTCGTCTAATAAGGTCACAGCTGTGCAAGGGAAACAAACTGACTGATAATGATCGGTTTTATCTGAGCTGCACATGTTTCTGAGCTAAAAATTAAATATCAGCAGTGAAAATCATGCACCACACCTCAAAGCTCAACATCAAACTCAGCTCATGAATGATTACATCCTTTCATATTATAACATCATCTTCCTAACGATGCTTTAAGTCAGTTTCTTCAACTGCCATGAAATTAATCAGATATGTTTTGAAATCTTCAAAAGCAGGTTAGAAATCTGTCCAAAGGTGGATCTAAACCTAATCCCTGAAACCGCATCAGATCAAACCAAAGATAAAATTAGGTAATTGAATTAGGCTGAAACCAGTCTAAAACCAAGCCCAAAGCCACATCTGAAAGTCACACAGACAAAAGAGACCTCCCGAATTCACAAAAGCTCTGCCGCGTCTCTGAAGATTCTGCCAAAACAAATTTGTTTGAAATTTATTTTTCTTCTAGTCCAAAATAACTTCAGTCAGAAACCAGTCAGTGTAAAGACCAGTCTGAAACTGGGTCTCAAATCACTTTAATACAGAGTCTAAACCCAGTAGACACTGAGATGGTCCGAAGACACGAAACTAGGTCAGCTCAAAATCAGTCAAAAAACCCCACGTCCAAGACCCAGCCCGAGCCCACGTTTGGAAATCAAACAAAAAATGGCTGAAAACCAGTCCTCAACCAGTCTATAACCAGTTATAACCCATTATAACTAGCCTATAATGGTTATAACCATTCTATAACCCATTATGACAGTTTTAACTATCTATAAGCAGTCCTCAACCATCTATAACCAGTTATTCAATTCAGTTCAGTTTTATTCATATAGCGCCAAATCACAACAAGAGTCACCTCAAGGCGCTTTATACTGTAAGGTAGACCCTATAATAATATATATCATCTATAACCAGTTCTAATCCATCTATAACCCATTTTAACCAGTGTATAATGATCATAAGTATCTGTAACAGTTTATAACCAGGCTAAGTCTTTAGCACTAACTCATGAATCCTAATGATTCTTGAGTTTCTGAGATCTTTACGTGATCAGCAGGATTTTTTAACCCTAACATCCTCACATGTTTCTGTTTGTTCACAATTATCAAACTGTGAGCAATAAAATACACAAAAATGTCGAGTGCAGCAAAAATGAAAATGAGAGTTAGCACTCATATTTTCAAAGTGATATAGATATTTTTAATTTGTCAGAAAGTCCAAAAGCTCCAGACTAAAGCCAGACCAGGCCCGAGTCCAGACCACAGCTCTGATGTGTGGAGTTGGACTGAAGACGCTGAGTCTGACTGAGTCAGGGGGATCCTGCGTTTCTCAACAGAAAGTAGAAAAACTAAAGTCAAGTAGAAACACTGCTGCAGGTTTTCTGGCATCATCAGGGTGAACTTCAGGAAGTCACATGTTCCAGTCTTCAGATAAAGTCCTGATAATCAGCTCCGTCAAACTGTCAGCGTGCTTCAATGTGCAGCTCAGACAGGATGCAAACAGGCTTTGAGCTGCAGCTGGAGGCTCACACACCAGCCTCATTTTAACTCCATCACTCCAACGTGTTGCTTATTTTACTCTCATTCACAGCGCTCCAGCACCGCGTCATGAAGGCGCCTCGTAAATAAGCGTTGCTCACTCACAACTCAGCTCTACAGTTCTAAAACTATGAGATTAAAACATAAGATTTTTTTATGTAATCACTCCTGTGTGTTTGTTTTTATTGTTTGCTGTGAGTGAAGCCATAAACACAAAGGTGTAAGAAAACCTGCCCTCCATGCGCACAACCACAGGGGAACTATTTTTTTTGCTGTGCTCTACATTATGTGACAACTGAAAATAAGGTAGGAGGCGTTTTGGGGTTTCACCACGTAAAGAAAGCTGTTTCTCTGAAGTGAAGCTGCAGATCTGCTCATGCATGAAGAACCTGCCGGCACCAGTTCGGCCTGAACTCACAGCAAACCAGGTCACCTGACATCTTGCCCTGCAATGAGATGCCAAACACAGCCGAGCGGGGCTGTAAATGTGGCCCCGAGAAGACTTGCTGCTCGCCGACCGCGACAAACAAAAACCTGAAAATTCAGCTTTTTCTTCTATTGTTTCACATTTCAGAGATCCTGGAGTCGCTGATACGCGCAGCGCTCTGTTTCCTGTGCAGGTAGCGGGTTATTTTAACCACTTAGGCTCACCTGAGCCCTCGCCGCCCATCAGCTAACCTGACTGGACCTCAGGCTAGTTTATATATGGACACTTCTTATTCTCATCTTTGTTTTTTTAATTCTCAGATAAATAGAGAATTTCATGTAAAAGAGAACGAGTGAATTTCACCGCTGGTAACCAAGCAAAAGGTCAAAGGTCCTGATGATGGAGGAACTTTTCTAACAGCAGAGCTCTGATTGGGTCTCACACACACATGTTGGAAATGACCTTTCTCTGGGCTGTAAAACCTTCACCTTCAGCACGGGCGAACCATATACGGCCGAAACGAGCCCGCCGCTGAGCCGGCCTCAGTGTTCAGATCAGCAGACCGCCCTCTGAAATCATCGTCAGACGTCGTTAGCAGCATTTCTTTGCAACGACGCACCTTTTGGTGAAATTTTTAAAGTTTAGACTTTAAAACCAGACTGTTAATGAAATGTGCGAGCCTTTTATTGAGATGTGTGGCGTACAGCAGGATCCCGCCCCGCCCGATACAACCTGAAACTCTGTAAAAGAAAAGGAAGAATCTGAAGCGTCAGGTCACCGGCGTTCGCTCGGCATCCAAACGCTTCTTATCGAATTCTTGTCTGTTTGGAACGCCGACAGAAACAACCCGAAACGTCTAAAGGCTCATTACAATGTTTCTGAAAGTTTCGCTTTTCTGTGGCGAACAAAGACCGACCTCTCACAGCGGAGCTGGACTTGGGTTGAACAGGTACCGTCTAACTGATGGATGGTACTATCCAACCAAAAGGCAGAATCCAGGCGGGGGAGGAACTTCAGGAGTGATTCCTGAGATCGAGTGCAATGAAACGAGCACGTCTATGAGAGCGCAGGCCTGTCTCCTGCCCCGGGCCTTGCTGACTAACAAAGACAGTTAATGGAGCCACAAAGTGACGGGAAACTCACCTACACGTGAGAACACGCGGCGGCGGCGGCAGAGGGAGCGACGGTGGAATGCTGGGCAGAGGATCGGAGACGTTTTGGGGCCTGCAGCTGCTCTCTGCTCCTCATGAGGCGACTACTGTAAGCAAACATCCGTCATGTCTGAGGACTTTTCTCCGTCTCTTTCACGCCCGTCTCTCCTCTCTGATGAGCTGATCCGGTGTCTGAGCGCCTCCGTCACTCCTCCGTCATCGCCGTGCCCAATCACCTCCTGAGGGCCGAGCTTCAGGTGTCCTCCTCTGAGAAGAAGACGGACCTCGGGTCTTTGCGAGGGGAGACTTTAGCGTCAGGCAAAGAGGAGCGATGGGGAGCGGCTGAGCTCCGAGCAGAGATCAGAAGTATGAAAGTTGTGCAGAGTCTGGTGAGTCAGCGCTGCTGCGGTGAGCGGCGTGCGTGGGCCGGACTAACTGCCCTCTCTCTCCGTGCTCCTCAGCTGCTGGTGGAAAGTGGAAACCGGAGGCCTGCAGCTCAGAGAGAGCAGAACAAAGTCTTTCACGCAAACACCTCCAACCAATCAGGAGGTGCGACTGCGACACCTCGGCGCATCTCCGGGTGTTAAAAGCTGCAGCGCTGCGTGAACGCTGCTGCAACCGTCTCAACATCCTCCCACCTACAAACAGGAAACCACAGCCTCTCCTCCTCACTCCCCTCACGCAGCCTCTGCTCTCCTTCTGCTCAGCGCTCGCAGAGCACAGAGGGGAGAACGAGAAACCCCGGCATCTCTCGGCGAGGGCGCCGGGGGCTTTTTCGTTTCTGTGTGGGTCCAGTGTGTGACAGCGAGGCCGGGAGCGATCCCACCTCCATCAGAGCCACCAACCAGCTCAGAACACACCAGTAACACACCTGACCTTTGACCCTGCTTCACATCCTTACTGTCAAGGTGGCCCCTCACACACAAACACACACATAAACACACACACAGGCATAACAGAACTGAAACAGCAGCATGTCGGAAAACTAAACGATATTTCTGGGAAAAACACGTCGACTGAGCTGGAAACTCGACACATTAAAGTTTCAGAAAACGTGACGAAACTCAAATGTTTCATCAAAATCATCGAAACTGAAACGAGCAGCAGCAAGAAGACGACCGTAGACGTAGGCCGAGCGACACAAAAACGAAAAGCTGGCGTTCGATTCAATGAGCTGCTGGAAACGTTCGTCCACGTCGACCCCGATGCGGTCATGTCACTGAAACCACCGCTCGTCATCGAGGCTCAGTTTGAACTTCAGCACTGA